TTATATGTGATATATCCATTCATTCCTTTTGGTCAAAAGCAGTGATTTTGGAAACCCCCAGCATGGTGGCTCTAGCCGTACAAACAACTGGTTTCTAGCATCGATATGGCTTTGTGCTGTGATATATCCAGGGMTCATGCTTTCATTTCTTCTCTGAAATCTGAATGTGAAAACCATTGGGAAACRCCAACCCAGGCGTACGAAGTATGTCTCCTCCGCTGACTGCTGTCCACCTGGCAAATTTAGATKTCAAAATTGAGAAATYACTCTGGCATAAACACACCCAAATATRTCATAAAAGTGAACCTACCTATACTTTGTAACCAAGCAGTGAAAGAAGACAGCCATCTGCAYCTTGGTGAAGTCCGTTCCARCACAAWATCTCATCCCACCGCCAAAAGCCATGAAATGTTTGGTTGCACCATTTAGTTCCACCCCCTGCTTATTGCATTTATTTTGACAAAGCAAGAAATCAGAAAAGAAAGAAGAATAGTAAGTTGATAAATAACAGATCTAGTTCCTTCCTTACATCCCATCTCCATGGATTGAAAGCAACTGGGTCTTCATATTTGGCAGGATTCAAGTGTACAGCTGGAGGACAGACAATAACCCCCCAGCCTGCAGGAATTGTATATCCTGCATCAATACGGTTTTTAAGTATATGCTGGTTCAACCAGACCAAACAGTCACATAAACTTGATTTAGATCAGTTGATAGGTTAAATTACCCTTAAAATGGATATCATGCAATGCTTTTCTGAAAATTCCAGGGACGATATTTGCCAGCCTAACTATTTCGTKAATAACCTGAAACTTTCTTTAACCAGTTAGTTTTTATTTTTTTATTTTTTTTTTAAAGCAGGCATTGGAATTATGGAAGCAATAACTAAAGACTGAACTAGGAATGGAAAGAAAAAAGCGAAGACTGCCTAACCTGAAATGTGAAAGTCATTGATTTGTAATCTTTCCATGTAAGCCCAGAATCACCATTCTCCTTTCTTCTTAGAATAGCCTCATGCTCTTCCTGATAGATAATAGATTAGGAGCAGCGTTTAAACCCAATGTCAAGTGAGGTTAATACAAGCTATACCWWTGAATGAGGTACTGTCATATAGATGGAAGTTATCACATACCGTCAGYCTTTTCAGCACTGAAGGGTGGTCTGARAGAAACTTCATGCCTAAGGTTAGAGCCAGGGAAGTAGTCTCAAAGCTAGCAAAGAGAAGCAMAAACATCAAATCCAGAGCAATAGACTCTGTTAGAACGGTTCCTTGTTTCTCCAGTTCTTCAACGACGAGRTCAAAGAAATCCCCATGGCGCTTCTSAGGCATTGCACGTCTCTCCWCTAGCATATCCTTCAGYAGCTTCATTGCCTTCTTCCGYCCCTGGACAAAACGTTACAGTTAAAACACCGACTACCCAACTGAGTAAAGTACACATTTGGGATATGCMGAAGTCCAAGCACCTGCAAGCATTTATGATATTGTGTTCCAGGAATATCCAGAGGGAAAGAGATAAGTCCTTTTATGAAGGCAACAAAGTTCTCCCTCAGRTTCTCTGTCGACTTGGTTGCATCATAACYGATCAGCTTCTTTGCTGTCAGATTAAATATCATCTGCATAATAAGCCAACAAATTAACACAATTACTCTCCATGCATGAACATTTTATGTGAGTTTCAGAGGACAAGAAGAGTTGGGTGTGTCAATACTTACAGTTGAAATGGCTTCCTTCAGTTCCACAGTATTCTGGCATGTCCACAGATGTAAACTTTTTCTTGCTGCCTCTTCCACTTCTGGGAGCAGCTTTTCTTTCAGGTTTTCAGGACCRAACAGATTCAAAACCAGATTCTTAAGGTACTTGTACATGAACCCATGCAAGGAACCCACATTCTGTCGTCCAAAGATCTCTGTAAAGGTGTCTGGATACCAACTCTGGAACAAGCGTCCTTCTTGTTGAAAGATGAAGTAATTGAGATCCGAATCCGTTGATATTACGACGGGCCTGCCCACCAAACTGGTCCGGAAAACTGGCCCATATCTGAAAAGTGAAAGAGAGCAAATTCTATCTAGTCAGGACCCGATATATATATATCTTTTCATGATCACTTTCATATCCATACCTTTTTCCAAACAAACAGATGGAAAACAGAAAGACAAAAATCACTTTCATACTTTTCCATTCTCTCTTTTATAAAAGGAGGAATGTCCGACGAGGTATTGGGAGCAAAGAACTGAAGGGTCTCTCCCAGTAGTGGCAAGCCCATGGAACCTGGTGGGAGCTTTCCATTGCATCTGGGGTTTCTCCAGTTGTAAACCCAATGCATAATGCATGTGATAATGAAGGCCCCTATGCATAAAGCAACAGACATATCTCTTAATATGTACTTTTATTGTAT